GTAGTAGTAGTAGTAGTAGTAGTAGTAGTAGTAGTAGTAGTAGTAGGCACCCCCCCTACCAACTACACTTGCTCTCAACCATGTTAACACAAAATCCATTTTACTCGGTATTTACGGCACTTTCGTCATGTGCGATCATCCTAAGAGGCCTAAAAATCGACTTGTCGAATTTGCAAACTCGGGCTCTTGATTTTGGACTTGCTTCTGGGGGTGGGTGAGGGGGTGGGGGGGGGATGATGACGCCAGTGTTACGCAAACACACCCAGCAGCATCACCACAAGAGCCGTTTAATTCGGTACTTACGGTACTTTCGTGATGTCAGACTTTGTTACATATTCTGAGCCCCTACTTTTCGACTATGCGTATTAAACTTTGCTGTTTGGAACTGTTTGCAAAAAAAAACTCGAAATTGGGTTGGGGAAAGCTTCTTCGGGGATGATCACGACACTGTTTTGCGGACACCCTGAACAATATTTCCACACTCAAGCGCGCACACACCACACACACTACTTCAAAAACAGACCCTCCTACGGCAGAGGTTGGGCGGTAGGGGTGTTGGCGAGCCCCTCCCTCGTACAGCTGGCATGTTTGTTTTTGATGTTTAGAAGATGTTGCGCTTCAGGTTTTAGAAATGTTAAACCCTTCTTGGCAGGACCTGGGTTTTGCACGGTATTTACAGCGTTTTAGTACTATCCGTCCACCTGGGGTTTATCAGTTTTTTCCCCGTCGAGCTTGCAACTCCAGCTGCTGTCGCAGTTTTGGAGCCTGAGCCCCTGCAACTTCACTGGCTGTGACAGTTAAGGGAACGGAGCCTCTGCAACTTCTGCAGCTGTCACAGATAAGGAGCCTGAGCCCGTGCATTTTCTGCAACTATCGCAGTTAGGGCGCCTAGCAGCTACCGCTGCCCAGCCCGGCTGGAACAAGTGTAGTTGGGAGTAGTAATAGTAGTAGTAGTAGTAGTAGTAGTAGTAGTAGTAGTAGTAGTAGTAGCAGTACTAGTAGTAGTAGTCGTAGTAGTAGTAGTAGTGGTAGTGGTAGTGGTAGTGGTAGTGGTAGTGGTAGTGGTAGTGGTAGTGGTAGTGGTAGTGGTAGTGGTAGGAGTAGTAGGTAGTAGTAGGTAGTGGTAGTAGTTGTTGTGGTAGTTGTTGTGGTAGTAGTTGTGGTAGTAGTAGTAGTAGTAGTAGTAGTAGTAGTAGTAGGCACCCCCCCTACCAACTACACTTGCTCTCAACCATGTTAACACAAAATCCAGATTTACTCGGTATTTACTGCACTTTCGTCATGTGCGATCATCCTAAGAGGCCTAAAAATCGACTTGTAGAATTTGCAAACTCGGGCTCTTGATTTTGGACTTGCTTCTGGGGGTGGGTGGGGGGGTGGGGGGGGATGATGACGCCAGTGTTACGCAAACACACCCAGCAGCATCACCACAAGAGCCGTTTAATTCGGAACTTACGGTACTTTCGTGATGTCAGACTTTGTTACATATTCTGAGCCCCTACTTTTCGACTATGCGTATTAAACTTTGCTGTTTGGAACTGTTTGCAAGAAAAACTCGAAATTGGTTCGGGGAAAGCTTCTTCGGGGATGATCACGACACTGTTTTGCGGACACCCTGAACAATATTTCCACACTCAAGCGCGCACACACCACACACACTACTTCAAAAACAGACCCTCCTACGGCAGAGGTTGGGCGGTAGGGGTGTTGGCGAGCCCCTCCCTCGTACAGCTGGCATGTTTGTTTTTGATGTTTAGAAGATGTTGCGCTTCAGGTTTTAGAAATGTTAAACTCCCTTCTTGGCAGGACCTGGGTTTTGCACGGTATTTACAGCGTTTTAGTACTATCCGACCACCTGGGGTTTATCAGTTTTTTCCCCGTCGAGCTTGCAACTCCAGCTGCTGTCGCAGTTTTGGAGCCTGAGCCCCTGCAACTTCACTGGCTGTGACAGTTAAGGAAACTGAGCCTCTGCAACTTCTGCAGCTGTCACAGATAAGGAGCCTGAGCCCGTGCATTTTCTGCAACTATCGCAGTTAGGGCGCCTAGCAGCTACCGCTGCCCAGCCCGGCTGGAACAAGTGTAGTTGGGAGTAGTAGTATAGTAGTAGTAGTAGTAGTAGTAGTAGTAGTAGTAGTAGTAGTAGTAGTAGTAGTAGTAGTAGTAGTAGTAGTAGTAGTAGTACAGGTAGTAGTAGTAGTAGTAGGAGGAGTAGTAGTAGTAGGTAGTAGTAGTAGTAGTAGTAGTAGGGGAGTAGAGAGTAGGAGTAGGAGTAGGGTAGCAGTAGGAGTAGGAGTAGGAGTAGGAGTAGGAGTAGGAGTAGGAGTAGGAGTAGGAGTAGGAGTAGGAGTAGGAGTAGGTAGGAGTAGGAGTAGGAGTAGGAGTAGGAGTAGGAGTAGGAGTAGGAGTAGGAGTAGGAGTAGGAGTAGGGGTAGGAGTAGGAGTAGGAGTAGGAGTAGGAGTAGGAGTAGGAGTAGGAGTAGGAGTAGGAGTAGGAGTAGGAGTAAGTAGTAGCAGTAAGAGGAGGAGGAGTAAGAGTAGGAGTAGGAGTACGCGCAGCAGGAGTAGTAGTATTGGCGGTGGCGATGGCGAAGGCCTCGTCTGTGAGATTTCCGAACGAAAATAACGGAAGAGAGGCCCGACCCCCCTTCGCACTGGCCTTCACCTCGTTGTCGTTGTCGTTGTTGGTTGCTGTTGGTACAGACAAAAACAGCAGCCCATAAGTTATGTTGATTGGAAACAATAGAGAATACATCCGGTGACCGCATAGGGTGCTTGCAGAGTTTTCGGCTGCGGCGGCGGCGGTGGTGGTCGTGGTAGTCGTTGTGGTCGTTGTCGATGCAGTTGTGGTCGGTGTCGGGTTCATCCAACCTTATAAGCCGATAAGATGTTGCTGAGGCTTTGGACAGCTGAGCTCGGAGACTTCTCGCGATTGCGTCGGCACTTTGTCGGCAGTGCACCAGGTCTTCAGTCCTGAAAGATCTGAGTAGGCATAACATACGAAGGTATCTGCCGGATCCAGATAGTGCCGAAGAGGTTCTGCGGATTTGCCGAGAAGTGCTCCCAAGATGTGCTTGTCGTCCCATACCGCGGTAAACAACGGCACAATGCAGACCGACGTCTCGCTGATGACCTTTTGTCTGCAGGGTCCATCACAACGAGTCGCAGGTACAGCGCAGTGAGTCCGACATCCGCAGCCGATTCCGTCCTCATCTCGGTCACAGCTGTTGGGCCTTCCAGAGAAGGAATGGTTCAAAGCCTCACCGGGTACTGTGTGCCGTGTTGCGCTTGCCCGAGAGGGTTGGCACAGAGAAGATCCGCGAAGCAGCACTAACAAATGTCAGTAGTGCCGAACAATTACATGACACAATGTTGTGCTGTTTTGAGCTACCTGTACATGCAGATTCGATATTCGGCCCTTTCAACCAGACTGGAAGAGGTTCTTCAAAGCTAGTTTTGGCAAGTCTCCTAGCTGCCTAGCTGGTTGTCCTGCCTGTTGCTCGCCTGCATTATGTGTCTTGAGTGGAACGGGTTGAAACTTCGCATGTGCGGTCAGTGAGTAAGGAAGAACAGGTGAGCCTACCCGCAGAGTACGAAAGCGTTCAGCACAAGAATGGAAAGCAGCACATAACTGTTGCCCGCACCCGAGGCATGCGGGACGGCAGTGAGTGACCAAACCTGCGCAGCAGGGTGCGCAAAGTCACAAAGGGACTCCTCAGCCTGCAAGTTCCTCACCAGCCCTCATTTTTTTGACTAGCTTCTTGTTGCGCATTTCCCTTCCCGTAACGCCATGTCTGGCTGAGACGATATAGGTGGCCCATCTGCTCTTTCATCCATTCACCTTGTTGCCATGACAGACTCGGAGTACTCATTCTCTTTGACTACATTCGCGCCATCCGGCAAGCTTTTGCAGATCGAGTATGCCCTCAACCGAGTTGCTGAAGGGCGCCCCGCCCTAGGCATCAAGGCCAAGAACGGGGTTGTTCTGGCCACCGAAAAGAAGGTCACAAGTCCGCTCGTGGACGAGAAGACCTTGGCCAAAGTAGAGAACCTCTCCGACAGTGTGGGAATGGTCTATGCCGGAATGCCAGCAGACTACCGTGTTCTACTCCGAAGAGGGCGTAAAGTTGCCCAACAGTACTACACCATGTACCGTGAGCTGATTCCGGTTTCACAAATCGTGCGTGAAGAAGCCGCCATCATGCAAGAGTTCACACAGTCGGGCGGTGTGCGACCTTTCGGCGTATCACTCATGATCGCAGGATTTGATGACAGTGGCCCGCAGCTTTTCCAAGTGGATCCATCCGGCACATACTTTGGTTGGAAGGCCTCGGCAATTGGCAAGAACCATGTCAACGCAAAGTCTTTCTTGGAGAAGCGCTACAGTGAGGACATTGAGCTAGAGGATGCAATCCACACGGCCATCCTCACCTTAAAGGAGGGTTTTGAGGAAGCAATCACGGCAGAGAACATTGAGATCGGTATTGTGGGCACTGACAGGAAGTTTCGAGTGCTGACTCCTGCAGAAGTCCAGGACTACCTCGGAGAGGTAGAGTAGGCAGCCGCCAGAGCCGTCTGCAAATGATAGCCGGGATTCGGCACAGATCCGGCCTCAGAACAGGAGAGATGCTATGTAATAGTGCTCAGTACCCAATGTACGGCATGACTTGAAGCACAGATCCGCTGCGCAAGGATGACCTGCAAAACAGGCGAATTTGAGAGAAGAGCTTGGTTGTATGGTAGGCAGCCTCTCAATGCTCGCTTGGCAATAAGCCACGTGAGGCTTCTGTCTGGACATTGGTTCAAGCTGATCGCTATGGAACCCGATACTTTCCCAGTTGCGCTACATTGCCAGCACAATGCCCAAGACAGGCAACGGAGCTTACACCGAACCACACGGTCCAGGCAATACTGCACGTAGTCATGGCTAGCTCAGAACGCAGCAGCCGTACGATGGCGCCCTTTCTGCAGAAGGGGCATGCGTCTGCCGTTTGATCCACCCGATGCTGCAGGCAATCTTGATTCTTTTGCTGCTCTGCCGTAGACCACCAACACTGCGTTGAATCACAGTTGCGAGGCTGCGAAAAGAATCTCATCGTCCCTGTACCGGGGATCCACTGCAATCCGGATTCAGGTTGGTACAAGAGTTGAAGCTCCTGGCTGAAGCTTTGCAGTGTTCTAGCAAGAGTGGCGATTGCAGACAGGACGCTTGGGGGCCTGTCTACAATGACATTCGCAACATCGCGAGGGTCCGCATCAACCGCCGCTAGCCGACAGAGCCGCTTTCAGTTTTGAGATGCTTTTACTACCCGACAATGGTTGGAAGCAAGTCCTGCTGCGTTGACAGCTACTGCTTCGTTCGGGGGCCAGGCCAAAGTGGTTTCCAATGCAGAAGCAAAGATTGATAGAATTCTGCGGAGGGTCGCAACTCCCAGCAAGATAGAGTCAGATAGAGCATCCTGGAAGACAGGGTTGCGCCGCCAAGGTTACACGGGCGTCAAAGCTGTCAAGATGAGTCCACCGAAGACCGAGTGGCAGGCGGGACAGCATGCGTACCATCGACCAGATGATGCGGGGTCTTTGTCAGCCGTTTCGAAGCAACAGCATGAACTAGACGATCGAAACATGTCCGACTTCAACGAATTAGGCAGAAAGACACGTAACCTGAATCTATCTTTAGAAGCATCCGAGCGCAAGAAATCATGCGATGTGCTCCGGTAAAGAATGGAGGACTGGGGTCTGCCCTTCAGACCCCGATGGGTCCCTCGGAGGAAGCTGCCGCCTGCGTTTGACGATGGCCCCGAGCGGGGGCTGAAGCAGCAGAGCATCATCTGTACCGGAATCGATGACGAAAGCTGAGTATTGCAATACTGGAATTTGCCTTTGGCAGCCTGCTGGCTTCAGCAAGATTCCGATGAGACTGCAAGCTTCCGCAAGTGGCGCGTGAAATGGCTTTGGGATGCTGAGGAACCAACAAGCAGTCGACCTTGAAGTGTTTTGAGGCAGAACAAGAGGGTTTCGTGGCGATGAACCAGGTATGTAGGTTTAAGATAAGCCGAGTAGCATGGTCCCTTCGATAGGACAAGTCTGTCAAGTCTTGGACCCGTCGAAAATGTGGATTCGGAAGGGATGATATGCTGACCATGGGCATTGCTTCGAATGCATGCTGCTTTGCTCTAAGCTCTCTGATGATCCTTCGTAGCTTTCTTGATAGACTACCCAGGCCGATTGAAAGGAGTAGGGCGATTTTTAAAGCCTTATGAGCCGGGTCTGTTTTTTTACTGGCAAAAGGTTGTGCGCAGCAGGGATCACGAAATCCGACAAGTGCTCCACATGTCGCCGTGTCGAAGACCATGCACATTTGTTCAAATCTTGTAAGCAGTACGAAGACACACTACCGACCAAGCAGGGCATCCACTCCATACTGTACCGGACGATTCGTGGTACGCTGGCATAATCTTTGAGTCGCGGCAGTCACGAAGCTTGAGAACACGGCGGCAAACAGCCCGAGCTTTCAACCAGGACATTCCTCTTCATCGTGTGTCGTGTTCGTTGGCCTTCGTTGATGGGTCGTGTTTTCGTGAGCGCTGGTACTTGTATCATCGGGGACATCCACCGTCAGTTTTTGAGGATGGCTGTACGGCAACGCAAGAGGTTCCAGGCTATATCCTTCTTCGCAGCGTGCGGAAATATGGGAAGTTGTGCTAGCTCTGAAACACTCTTGTGGTAACATCCGTATTGGTAGTCATTGTGCCTGTGTTGTTAATGCTTTTTCGTGGCTTGCGACAAACAGCTGGGAACCTTCGTTACTTGCTTCTGTTGACAAAGCCGAAAGTTGGAAGCTTGTCATCGAGTTCATGGGCGACCGTGTGAATGATACGGTATGTTGTTTCAATGTGAAAGCTCATATATCGGGCACATCATCCGTTCCACCGCAGCAATGGACGGATATCAACAACAAAGCTGATTTGCTTGCTAAATCTGCTGCTCGTGATTTGCATGATAAACGACTTGATCTGCTTTCTGAGGGTCCGCGATGCCGTTGATTTGCAAACTCATTTGGTTTTCCACATTGGGGGGCCGCCATGAATGTACCAACCATCCTATTTCGAGCGATGTAGTGCCCCACGGGTTTCAATCCAGCTGCGCATTGAGGATTTGTAGTGAACAAACATCCCCTAAGTGGTATCCTGTCGGAGGTTTCAACCCATCTTCATCTTTGGAATGTGTGCAAAGGGGTCTTCCTGTTCCAAGAGTGTTGCAGGGCCAAGTTTGTCAAACATATCCTCGCTACGCTGCAGCTTTGGGGCAAGCTTACATGTATGCCTTTTTGTCGTGACATCCTGCTTGAAAACATCACTTGGGGTTCTACGCCAAAAAATCTCCCGGCTATGACGGCCATCATTGAGTTCATTAGGGATGGAGAATGGTATGTACCCAATGTCGATGATGGCAGCAGTATGTCGTGGATTGAACAAGTATCTGATTTTTGTGACCAAGCATGGCTTTATTGGGGGATTCTTGACTCCGGGAATGCCAATGTCGCGGCTTACCCGTAAAATGAAAACGTATGTCACTAAGGCTATGCAATCCTGCGGCGTAGACCTAGTCATGGTCTCCAAGGTTAAGGTTCACCGAGACTTCTTAGGCGGGGACGTTGCTGGGTTTGTTGGACGGAAAAGGACGCATCGGCCCTAACTTTTATGGGCTCTTTTTCTCACGGATCAATCCAGATACGTCTTGAATGGTTCCAGACAAGGTCATGCCCACTGGGTTCCTAATTTCAGCGCCCTTTTCCCATGAGTTTCTACAGTGACAGTCTGCATGCATTGCTCATCTTCGTTCATTAACAGCTCTGACGTACGCGAGGTGGAAGAGCGAGTGTTGGTAAGGTAAAAAATCTAAGCTCTCTGATGTTTTGTTTGAGAAAGAAGCACACCATCTCTAAGCTTTCGATTTTCGCATCTGAAGTAAAGGAGGGTCCGAGAGCGACATGCTGTCATGTTTTGTGCCTGGCTTGATGCATCTGCAGCTTCCCAGTCAGGCGGCTGCCGAGAGGGAGTTTCTGGTAATGCGTTCGAAGTTCCCAAAGGATGAGTGCCTCGGAGATGTGCGTAGCAGCCCACTGCACCGAAGACTGCTTTCTCTTTTGGAAGTAAACGCGGCATGGCCAGATCTGACCATTCATTGCTTCTTTAGGCTCCTCTGGTACCTGACCCCTGACGATGTTGCTTGGCGGCCAATTCTCGAACTCGGGTCATTCTGACATTTGCGCATCACGACAACGTGAGGTGCATCCATGTTTCCTGCAATACAATAGTTCAGATAAGCCCACGATTTGCCAAGGTTGTATGTCGAAGCAGCGTTCTTCACTTGTGCTTGTGGAATAAAGATAAACTTCGCTATCTGGCTTGCAGACTTCGCTACGACAGGTTCGGCATCTATCTCCAGAGATGCGAAGATGCCTGACCTTGCGATGTGCAAGCAACAAAGATGTGTCCAAATGGCGCGCTTCAGCCAGCAAGCTGTTTTGCAAGTATAGCAGTATACTGTAGCACAAATCCCGCACAGTGGTGAGTCTCGGACAGGTGTGCTGAGGGAAAAGTTCCCCGGGTTCATCAGTCAGTATCAAGCAGAATAGTTCTTTATTGCATGCCTTCGTGCAGCAGGTCAGCTGTCAACTTAATTGTCTCAGGAAGCCATCAGCTCATTCGATGCTCGCCTGCAACTGCGCAATGCATTCGCCAGCTCTGAATGTACATTCCAGGTACTGTTTGTACCAAGAAACTAGAGAATATGCTGGTTCCTTTTTCCACGGTTGTGTTGGGCAAGTGTTAGGACTCGTTGTTGAGGTCGTCATGTCCATGTTCATCATGGAATCTGCTAAGCAACTGCTCGATTCTGCTGCGTAGCGGATTTGGCACAGGGATTATCTGCCTCTCGTGTTTACAGGGAGGTAAGTAATTCAATCTGCAGCCTTTCACAAGGCAAGTTTCAGCGCCGTCCATTCGACACCAACAGCCGGGCTGTTCGAATCGCGTGTCTCACGGAGAAGATCTTGCGCAGCTCTTCTGCAAGGATCGATTATGCCACTTTGATCACCACTTTTTCAATTGTGATCGCTCTGCGTTGCTTGCATGCTGCTATCCACATTACAGTGTTTGTTCGGCTGCGGTTGTCCCGCACGACCGGGCTCGGCCGCATTGCCATCCTTCTTCGCAACTCGTCAGGGAAAGCTCGTTCTTGTTGTTTTCTTAGCGATTTGGCCAAAGCTCCAATTTGAGGTTTGGCACAACCAAAGCACTTGCTAGACTCCTGCAATGCGGGCCGAGAATGAAAAAAACGACTATTTCAAACTAGTTTGCGAGAGCCCGAAGCGGGACCCGTAGACTGTTAAGGCCTGACTTGAGCTGTTCCCAGCAATTGCATGGTGGAAAAATCAAGCGGGATGGAATAGCAGAAATGTTCTCAAGCCAGGGCCAAAGTCTGTTTGCAGACAATGGAGAATCTGGGTCTGGTCGGAGTCCAGGGAAGCTAGATTGAAACTTTGAAACCGCGTGTGGGTGGGTTGGGGTCGCTCTACGGGACACCAGAAACTGAAACCTTCTAGATTTTAAATGCGTTTATCAAATTCGAAATTGCATTTTGGCCTGCTCTGGATTCCTGGATGCTAGTTCGGAGATGTTCGCTGCAATGCTGCAACGGTATTGGATACTAGACCTGTCTGAACAAGGCAAAGGCGCACTGTGCAGGGTTGACCTATGTATTTCGACTTGCTTCGAGCACCTTCGAGCTCCGGGAAGTTAGTTAGAAGCATTCTTGTGCGGGTCGGCGTAGGATCAGATGTGTGTAGAAAACAGACCCAGGTACACTGTTTTCTCGTAGCAAGTCCAGGTACACTGTTTTCTCGTAGCAAGTCCTAGGACATGCATTTTTCCCCTTACTTAAAGCCATTATTATTCAAACTGAATCAACTGATGGATGGGTTGGGAAGCACAGTATGGGACACCCACCAATATCGCATGAAAAATGCGTAGTTAGATGCATGTATGTTCAAAGTTGAGCATGCGAATTCAGGCTTGGGCTTAGCATCCGGAAACATAATTCGAAACAGTTGCATGCAGCATCTTCATGCTCGGGCAGGAAGGTGTGAACACGTATTTCGCAAAAGCAGAGTTGCATACAACTAGTACCTAGGCCCTACGTAGTTTTTAGTGCTGAGAGTTTTCGGTTGTGGGAAGCTAGTTGCCAGGGTTTTCGGAGACTTCATCTCACAGCGCAATTGACTTGGTTTACAGGGATGCTGGAAGTGGGTTCGTGGATTAAGATTAGCGGTTTCGAGTGGCTCCTGGGTGTCAGGGGCTCTGGCACCGAGAGAGCCTTCCGTACTGGTATGTGCGGATGGGGATCACTGTCAGTGCTGCTCGCCTTGAGCCACCCCGGACCGGCACGAGACTGCTTAGGGGTTGAGATGTGGCGCTCGAACAAGCCCCATGATCCAAAAGCACCACCATGCCAAAACAGATTAACACATATGCGGCTTCCGCATGCTCGCACGCGCGCTCACCTCCCCCCCACACACAGACACACGCACACTGACTGATTCGGCCGAGAGCACGAGTGCAAAGGGAAAAGAGAGAGGCATGTTGTACTTGCTTGCTGTAAATTCAACCAACGACTGTGGCAACTGAAAGTCTAATCTTGGCACAGGGGCCCTCTCATCTTGCTGGCTCAGGGGCCTCAGCTTGTTTTGTGCAGGTACGCCAGACTGATCAGGTCTGGTATCCACCATTACGCATAGCTTCGCTGGCATGCGTTTGCGTAATGGCCGCATGCCCCCTGCATACAATCATGTGTTTCCAAAATAATGTGTTTCAAAATGGCATCAAAAACCGACGGAAAGGAGTGACCCTCTGCTCCCATGTGCTAGGGAGGTTCACACACACACACAGCCCCTGTCGGGGCGTGATCGCACTTTGTTCCTGCAGGCAATCGGCGGTAATCGTCAGGCTACAACATCGACTTAAAGGGGCATTCCTTTAACAATTTGAAGTGACACTGGCATCGATAGCCGGCTCGTACAAGCATCTTAGCACATGCTCTCTTCGAACGTTTGTACATGACTGTGGGGTGCACAACATCATACGGAGCAATAGACTCAGAAGACCAAGGCTCACGGGATGGTGATCGATGACAGGCTGCAGCTGCAGGTGTAGATGTCGTAGGAGAGGCTGATGAAGTTGAATGCGCCGAACATGGTTTCTTTTGTTTGGACTTCTTCGGCTTTTTGTGAAGATGCTTCATGGATTGTGGCGTTGTCGATGCTCTGGTAGATGTTCTTCTCCGACGGTTGTCCTTCTTCTTGGTCTTGCGGCTGGCGCACTTGTGCTTTGTAGAAGGTTTGCGGCTTGATGAAGGTTTTTCGGTCTGCATGAATGTAGTGAGTTCATCGGAGTTCCACGAGCTGATCTCGTCCTCTGCTGCTGTCATCTTTTCAGTTGTGGTAGTAGATGTGGTAGCGCCTGCTGTGTTGGTGTTCTTGGTGATGCTCGAGGAAGCGTGACTCTGAGAAACATCCTTCTGCAAGAATGCCTCAAGTTCATCTGATCCCCATGTCGTCCCCATCTGGGTGCGACGTCATGTTGGGCACAGGGTATGTAGATGTGTTTTCTCATAAAATGGCTGCGGGAATTCAAGCAAGGCAACTTCGCATTCAAACACAAGAATGCAACAGCAAGGTGCTGACTGTTTTCATAGCAGGTGACAAGTCCCTCATCCATGCTCTTAAAGTGGGTTCAATCTTCTTCTCTTGTGTGATGCAGTATAGGTACAGCTTTGCTGTGTGGTGTGGCTGCTGTAAGCAGCAAGTGTGCAATGAATTATCAACTCAGTTGTGGTACTCATGGAGTTCGAGATCTCTTTCTCTTGTTGCATGTAGGCGTTGACGTAGTTGAATCTTCATCCTGTGTGGTAGTAGTAGGGGATGCTGCACACTGATCAAGTTGTTGCGAATGGTTGCGTATCCACTCTTGAGCAGCAATGAAGTATTCTCGCCACCATGAAGATCCGATAGTGGCCCAATGCCATCTCCACTCTGACGCGCGCGGAGATCTTGATCTAGTGTGTCGGTCCATGATAATAACACAACAGGTTGTAAGCTAAATGGCTGCTGTCAACGAGTGTGTAAGTGTTCGATAATGGAATGTCATGAATGCGGCTTGCAGTTGTTTTCAGCATAGAATGTAATGAATGCGACTGGCAGTTGTTTTCAGCGTAGAATGTAATGCAACGCACATGTCCAACTTGTGTTGGTCTTCTTTACATCTGTATCAAAGCTTCGAGTCTTTCGACTCGGTCCTTCAACTCTGAGATTTGTCTGCTTGTTTGAGTGATAAACTCGGCCAATTGATCACGGAAGGCCCAGTCGCTAAAGGTGGAGACTTCGCTGCCTGTGTCGGAGCCGTGCTCTCGGTGTTCGGTCAAAATCTCCAGGAGCGCCTGGGTGAGAGCTTCACGTCGTGCCTCATCCATAACAGGCGGAGCTGTAGTCGTTGGCTCTGTCGGATTGGATGCATCACTCATGGCTCCAAAGGTGAGGGGTCAACGTTGTGCAGCTGAGGCCAAAACTTACATCAAAAGTACAAAGTGGCTTGCTGTGTGATGCAATTGCACAGTCAGAATAGGGCAACTTTTTCATAACACCTCGCATGGATCAACACCTACGACCAGTCTGGCGTGTCCTGCCTCATGAGGCTCTCGACAATATCAAGTTGCTGTTTGCACGAAGCCATCATTGCAGTAGTGGCTTCGTGTTGGGTTGTCAACACTGTCGTAGCTTGTTGTATCAAGCGTTCAAGCTTGGCGTTCGACTCAAGCAAAGAATTGTGAAACTGATGCAGCAAATTAATAATCTCCGTCGTGTCCGTCGAAGCAAGTGGTGCGTCAGGAGGATATGGTGGAGCATTCGGCCCTGGAATGCTCGGTGCAGGAAGATCTTCCGGATCTTCCAGTTGTTCCTGGTGCTGCTCGTCCTCCTGTTGCTCCGCAACACGCAAAATTTGAGAGCGTAGTGGTGGAAAAGCCGGCGGATCTGTGTTGTTGGTTGATGGCTGGCTGCGCCTGCGCTTGTTCTGCTTGGAAATGGGTTGATGTTGTGGTCGGCTGCTCAGCGCTTTGTGCCTCGGCTGCAATCTGCCGGTCATGGCACTTTTGTACATGTTGCTGGAGTTTCTACCTGTAAATGGCTGCGGCACACATCACACAAGCGGTGGGAAAGAACTGACATTGCTCCACAAGGCAAATCCAACTCGACGCAACGGTACGCTTTATTTTGCTACAGCTGTTGGTCAGTGTATCCGGCCGCGATGTACAGATCGCGCATGGCTCGAATGGCATGTGTGGCTTCTCTGTGAGGTGTGGTCACCCTCCGGACCATGCGTGTGCGCGCTTGGAAGCTGCTGCGAAGTGTTGATATGGAAGTAGCCGATTGGGGGTGCAAAATGTCTGCCTTGTGCAAACTGCATTGGTAGGTGAGGCTGCTGTTGTGAGGGTTTACAGCAAAACCCAGGAAAATGTCTGCCGGTTCAGTTTCAAGCTGAACCGGTGGCTTGTAAAATGATGCAGCTGTGAGCTGTACAAAAGGAGGCAGTCGAGTCAGATGTTTCGGTAAGAGAAGAACACGATTGTCAACGTATCGTGTAGCAAAGAAAATGGCATGTTCTTTGTGGGTGATGTGCGAGAAGTGTTTGTGGTTGGTGAAAACTTGCTTGTATGTGTGGTGCCAACATTGTTCTTCCACGGCGACCACTATGTTGCATAGCGCCGGGCTGCAGGGAGAACCCATGGGCGCTCCACGAAACTGCTCGATGAGAGATGTGCCCACAGTGAAGTAGTTGAGCATCAATACTGCTGCGATGAGCTGTGGGATGTGTTTCAAATGGATGCATAGCTTGCTGCCTGACGAGGCTTCTTGTTACTTGTTGTTTTTGTCTGCTTTTGCCACGGTGAACCCGGTGTGTAGGGTCTTTCTGGGAATGATCAATGTAGAAATTGGTGGAGTGTA